CCGGATCGGCAATCATAGCGATGGCTGATGGCAAGTGTCAAATTATAGCCAACTCTGCATGATTGAAAATTGTATAGATACTGCAGTTAGAGAAGGCATCCTTGAAGCTGAATATAAGGAGTTGCAAGAATCGTGCAAGCAGGAGATGGTGAGGCAAAACTTTCATAGCTAAATATTTTATATAGAAAATGGTTTCAGATAAAGTATGCAGCAGCGACGGCCCACCAGAGCTTAGGATCGTCACAATGGAAACTGGTTGTAGAAGTGTCACGATCCAAACTCCATCAGAAATGGAGAGGAAGGTATAATTGTTGATTAACACGTTTTCAACCTTGTAGAACGTGCAGAATGTCAGTAAGAGGAAATCTGGCCAGCTGCAGCAAAACTGTGACCAGCCTTACTATGATGGAGGGGGGGGGGATATAAAACTAAGAAATATTAATGTTTATTTGTATACATATCCTATTATATCACGACACATTGTCTTATATTTGCATTGAATTTATATTTCTGCACTTATCCTGCGTAAAGTTCATGTGGTTATCTCTGCACACGGCTTTAAAAATTAAAAATAAAGAAAATTATTAATTTAGAAAGGGGGGGATAAGGATATTCGATACAAGATAGGTAGCTTAAGGTTTGAGAAATAGTGTTGACATTATTTTCTCAAGCTACAAATCCCCATTTTGACTCCATGTCTAAAAGCTGTAATATTCGGGAGAGTTAAAATGGGGATTTGTAGTTTGAGAAATAGTGTTGACATTATTTTCTCAAGCTACAAATCCCCATTTTGACTCCATGTCTAAAAGCTGTAATATTCGGGAGAGTTAAAATGGGGATTTGTAGTTTGAGAAATAGTGTTGACATTATTTTCTCAAGCTACAAATCCCCATTTTGACTCCATGTCTAAAAGCTGTAATATTCGGGAGAGTTAAAATGGGGATTTGTAGTTTGAGGAAATAATGTTAACACTGTGTCTCAAGCCTTAAGCTTGTTTGTTTCATTTTTTCGCGATTGCATTTTCACTTTAGACAAACCTGTCTTATTTCTGTAATTTTTTTTAATTCCTTTTTATATTAAGTTTTTAAAATAACTTTAATATTGGGTTCAGCTTACAAGTTTTTGTTTAACTGACTTTAAGAGTTGTATATCAACACTGACTTTCAATTAAGGTTATTTCAACAGATTAAGATAACGTTTAACTGATTTCTAGCTGAATGGGGGGAAGAATTTTTGTATTTATTCTTTTTTTCAACTATCTTCAATTCTAAATCTAAAAACATGTTCCAATCAAAACGTTATATCAATCAAACGCGCGTTTTTCGAAAGCATCTCGGTAACGGTTAATTTACCTATTAACTACTCATTCATCACCTAAACGAGGTGTTTTTAGCTTTATTTCATGTTCCGAGTGCCACCCATCTGTATTCTGTAATGATTGTTAGCATCCTTCTCGTTAATCAGCTGCTCTGATTACACAATTAAATTTTACCTTTTCTTAACAGTTTTGATTACGAAAGTTGATTAATCAGTACTTCGGATGTCTGGTTGTTGGTGAGGTTTCATGTTTTATTGCCGAAGACAAACGTTTAGTTTTATACCCTGGATCGTACTTGGTTACTTTAACGTCCAAGCTCATATTAACAATAATGAACTGGCAAGTGTCGTTTTTGTCGCTTTATGATATCCACTGCAATTACTTACAGCTAGCAACACTAATAATGACGGAAGAAATTTCCACACATTAGTGGAAAACATAAGTCAATAGATGGCGCTGCACAACCAAGTTTTAATAAATATAGTTCAGTGACAGTAAAGTTCTATTCTAGAACATGGACGTATTATATAGCCAACATTATTAGCTCCTTACGAAAGAAAATTAACCTTCGTACTAGTTTTACATTCATCATAAATTACCCCTTTTATAATGTGGGGGGAGAAAACGTGGAACTAGAACAAATTTGATTAAATATCAAGCACTTTATATTAAATTTGTTGTATATTTTATCTAATAACGGCCCATATACAGTTGGATTCAGTGTGAAAATCCTTTATCAAACTTCGTCACTCGGTTCCCAAGAATACAGAAAACGGGTGTTTCTACGGTAAGCAAAGAAAAAAAAAACACTCGTCAGAAACTCATTGGAAGCAGTGTTATGGAACGGTACAAAATCTCGGTTCTATTTATTTTTTAAATAAAACTCTGTAACGTTTATAGATTAAAATGAATCTCTGTCTAAATATCCAAAACGACTTCTACAAGCGTGCTATAATTACTTAGTTTACTAGATCCGAGGTTAAATACTTGCATTTCTAATCTTGATAAGATATTAAGTAAACGGTAAATACGTCATTCTTATTACACAGATAAATGGAGTCGATTATTTAAAAGCAAACATATTATACAGTTATTGAACAAAAACTTCCGGACAAAGTTTCACGCGATGTGGTATTCCAGTTTCTGGTTACTTAAGGCACAATATCTTACCATAAAACAGATTACAATTATTTATTAACTGAAATGCATATGAATATAAAGATAATGGTATCTGGGATAGCAGAATTAAAAAAGAAAAAAGGTAACCATGGAACCCATTCTGATACATTTTTGCTGAAAAGTGACTCCCTGAGTTTTGTTAACAATCAAAAGGCCTTTAAATACCGTAATCATGGTGAATGTTTAAAGGTGTAGAAAATAACGGAGGTGCCACATCAAGTAAACAATGACCGTGGGGACGAGGGTGGGGGTTAATTCCAAACGTTTGTAACGATAGGTGTGTATGTATGTGAATCGGCCAAAACAAAGTATACGTCCCTAAAGTTTTTTTTCACCGATACAATATCCAATCAACTATAGACTTTGGCACCCTGGTGTTAAATATATTCATTACATCGTATACTAAGGTTATATTGTACATAAAATTGTTTCTGGACAACCAGTCTGTCACAATCACCTCTTTGTTCAGTGAGATTTCATGAAAACAACAAAATATTCACATGTACGTCTTAACGTACTTTTGTTATATTTGCATTTTAGTAACCCTAGACAGTTTCGAGAATCAGTGAGCCGGTCCCTGGTATCGAAGAGGTTGAGGAACGTAGTTATAGGCTACATCCTTAATATAACGTGTAGACTTGTCGTATGTTAAGCATAATTATACCGGCAGGAAAGACTTTAAAAAAAGGTATACTAATTAATATTCTAGTTACATGATACGAATTGACTTTCTATTTGAGCAGTCTTCATTGAAATTATTTAATATCTAAATGACCTAAAACATTTGTTCTAGCCACTAGGTGGAGTACTGATGTCTATTTTCTAGAATATTTCTTTACTGTTCAGGGACCGTTAAGTTAGTATAAACTTTTAGATCTAAGATACAGAAACTTCAGTACCTGAATTTCTTTGTTTTCTTTCCTAAACTGTCAGTTCCAGCATTCTGTTCATTTTCCTTCAAGTCTCTATGGCTTCTTTCCCGAAAGCCATAATTCCTGGGAACCAGAGTGTCTTGAGGTTTACCAACTATTCTAACTCCGTCTTCTAAGTTGGTTCGTTTCAGGTTTTTATAATTCACTTTGTAACCATTTTGAACGCTAGTCAATCTCACCGAGTCGTGACCTCCTTCCTTTACACATTCCTCGTGGACCTGGCAGGAAGTGAAACAAGAACCATCATTTCCTGATTGGTTCATAATTCTTCTTTTTCTTTTTAAACTTTGTTTCTTCTGCGACGAAGCAGTTTTATCTTTTCTCAACCCATTAAACTTTGCAAACGTTGCACTTGCCCTACTAGCATCCTCCACTACTCCACCATTAAACTTTACAAACGTTGCACTTGGCCTACTAGCATCCTCCACTACTCCACCATTAAACTTTACAAACGTTGCACTTGGCCTACTAGCATCCTCCACTACTCCACCATTAAACTTTACAAACGTTGCACTTGCCCTACTAGCATCCTCCACTACTCCACCACTAGATTTACGTTTCTTTCCTTCATGAATGCTTTCCAAATCTTCGACTTTTTCTAAACCCATTTCATGCAAAGCCAGTCTGGTTACCACTCGTTTGGCAGATGGAATTTGTCTTAACCATCTGGATTTCCTTCTGAGGCTAATGGAATGGTAAAACTTGTTCATAGTTTTAGATTCACCTCTATGATAAAGATGTTGGGGAACATCAGGTGCTGAAGAGTTGATATTTGGGTCAAATTTTTTTCTTCCTCTTTTTGTCGGAGGAACCGAGTATTCACCACATCCACTCAGTTTTGGTTTAACGGTCTCGCTGAAATCGGTTATCAGTTCCTGATAATCGCAATGTTCGAAGTTAAAATCATCACAGAACTTTTGAAAAAGGTCTTTAACACGCACGTTATTGGGATCTTCGAGTTTCAGGTCATTTTCTCTGTCTAAAGAGTTCAAAAACACGGTTTGGACAAGATCCTCAACCACTTCTCGAATAGCAGGATCGCAGCTGTAATTTGTAGGTTTGGGCGAAACGACAAGACAACTGTTTTTATTTTTAGCGATGTTACCTTCTCTTTCTTCCCCTGCTGTCCGACAATCTGAAGTTCCTGAAATGTCGCATTTTTCTCTATTTTTTACAGTTCTTTTTTTAAATCTCTTGCATTTTACTTCAGTGATCATTCCGTTTTCAATACTGGCATACACCGATAATGCAGACACCTTTCGGTTCTTAATGGGAATTTCACATTGAATATCTTGATTTTCTGACATATTATTAACGTTGTTGACTTGTCTCTTACTGCATTTCCTTTTTCTAATGCCAGAATCTAGGCTCTTGACAATACTGTTTTGTAAAACGTCTTCAGTAACTTTACAGTTGTCTTCCTCTAGTTTCAATGTGTTTAGGGATTCATTATCATCCTCTTTGTTTTCATCATCATTTTCTTCATTGTCCTGAGTTTGTTTCCTGGAAACATCTTGCGTGATTGTGGACATCTTATTTTCCAAACTAATGACATCCGAACATACCTGATGTTCACTTGTTTGTTTTCCCTCCTCATTGCTGGTGCTTCCGGTACTAAGTGGAATTCTTTCTTCAAATGAAGAGGTCTTGAATTCGTCAGAAGAAGAAGCGCCATCTCTGTGTTTAAAAGTTTCCACTTGATCTTCCTTCGAAGAGTTATTTGATTGACCAACACGTTCCGTTTCAGTCAACGATATAAACCTGAAGGAATCTGTAGTATTGAATGAATGATCTAAAGGAGGATCATCATGACATGTTTCTTTACAATGAATATCATCTTTAACAACGCTCTTAAAACATGAAGAAAGAGCCACGACGTTTACATCTTCCTGTGTGTCAGATGATTTGTCCCAGTGTTCAGAGACGTCTACGTTACTAGTTTTATTATCGGGATTCTGGGAAGTGTCACCGTGGGATGATGTGTTCCAATGTTCAGAAACGTCTACGTTACTAGTTATATTATCGGGATTCTGGGAATTGTCACCGCGGGATGATGTGTTCCAATGTTCAGAAACGTCTACGTTACTAGTTGTTATATTATCGGGATTTTGGGAATTGCTGCAACGTTCAGAAACATCAACACCAACTGTTATATTATCGGGATTCTGGGAATTGTCACAGTGGGATGATGTGTTCCAATGTTCAAAAACGTCTACGTTACTAGTTGTTATATTATCGGGATTCTGGGAATTGCTGCAACGTTCAGAAACATCAACACCAACTGTTATATTATCGGGATTCTGGGAATTGTCACCGTGGGATGATGTGTTCCAGTGTTCAGAAACGTCTACGTTACTAGTTGTTATATTATCGGGATTCTGGGAATTGTCACCGCGGGATGATGTGTTCCAGTGTTCAGGAACGTCTACGTTACTAGTTATATTATCGGGATTCTGGGAATTGTCACCGTGGGATGATGTGTTCCAGTGTTTAGAAACGTTTACGTTACTAGTTGTTATATTATCGGGATTCTGGGAATTGTCACAGTGGGATGATGTGTTCCAGTGTTTAGAAACGTCTACGTTACTAGTTGTTATATTATCGGGATTCTGGGAATTGTCACAGTGGGATGATGTGTTCCAGTGTTCAGAAACGTCAACACTAGTGATATTATGGGAAGTCTGAAGATTGTTCGATCTAATTCCTTCTATCTGATATCTAGACTGTTCAACCCCTGCCTCGGGACTAAAGATTTTAGCCAACTTAGGTGACCAGAGTTCGGTTTCTAAAGCATTATAGAGAGATTTAGTTTCAGAAGAACTTTCATCAACTAATATATCCAAACCACGAGCTGCTAACAAGGAGTCCTGTCCAGTCTCGGACGGGACCACTAAAGTAACATCTTCGGAAAGAGGAGGACTGTGTTTTTGTGTTTGCTGATGGTCAGGAAGATCAACTACCCCACTTTCTTCCGATTTCTCCTTGCAAGAAAGGCTCACAGGCTGATATTTTTCAGAAAACAAATTACCATTTTCCTCCTCCCAAAGACACACCGATTCTTTATCTACTTTTAGATTTCGTTTAAACCCCCGTTCTTGAAGATAATGTTGGCAGATCTCGCTACCAAACAGTTGTCTGGCTTTGGTGAAAACGTTTTTTGGAAGTTGATTGACGTCAACGGAATACGAGTTTCCTATTTTACTCCGGCTCTTTCTCAACATTTCTTCATTCCTACTCACATCTCTCGGCTGCTGTCTTTCTGATTTGCCTCTCTGATGCACATGCAACATTTAGGAAAGGAAAACCGTAGAAGTACTGATATCAATAGAGATATTGACGTTTCTTTCATCCGCCGCTACTTGTTTATCGTTGCTAGGACACAAGTTCGTGCACATTTGAAAACGACTGGAGTAAAGTGACCTTCACGAGTAAGTGGCGCCTGGCACGTTGTTTTCACAGGCGCCTTTCATGTCCTTTTTTTTTTCTTCTATCTCTGATTTAGTCAGTTTAGATATGTGCAGACGAGCTGTTTGAAATAGTCATTCCAACACGTTTAGAACCTCAGCATCTAAAGACGAAGAATAAATAAATAAATGAAAAAAAATGTCTAGAATCCAATCAAACTATTTACACAAAAATCAAATGTGTAACTCAAAATTAATTTGATAAAGATTATTCGTAGTTTGAGTTAGAAATTCGGTAAATAGAAACATCTAGTAATAAACTATTAAAATTATGGACAGTCGATGTTCAATTAAAATACAACTAACATAAAACAAACATTTTCAAATATCACCGTTTTTTACTTCCTTAACTCTTAGTTTGTTTGTTTCAACTGTTTGTTTTAAGTTAAGCACAAAGCTGCACAATGGGCTATCTGTGCTCTGCCCACCACGGGTATCGAAACCCGGTTTCTAGCGTTGCAAGTCCGCAGATATATCGCTGTGCTACTGGGGGGTTTTTTCAACTGTCCGAAAAGAGTGATTTAGATCTCTGTTAAGCAGAAAATGCTGAAGTCTGTCATTAGCTGTCCCGTTGGACACGTTACTGCAACGTAGGTATATGATGAACTGATTTTCCTCGTTAGGCTTAAGATATTCTATAATTCGTGCCACTAGGTGGCGTATCGTATAACCAATAAATGCCTGTTTACATGTGAATTTGTAAATGATATACGTCGCCATAGCATTTGATTTGTATATTTCACTTTGAAGTCCAACGTTATGGCGATTGTACTTCATTTTTGAACTGATTTGCCTCGTTAGGCTTAAGATATTCTATAATTCATGTCACTAGGTGGCGTATCGTGTAACCAATAAATGCCTGTTTACATGTGAATTTGTAAATGATATACGTCGCCATAGCATTGGATTTGTATATTTCACTTTGAAGTCCAACGCTATGGCGATCGTACTTCATTTCAGGCATTATAAAACTTAAAGATTTGATTTTCACTATAAAAAAAAATAGCCTAATCTGCTCAGAAACATAATCATGTCTACTTCAAACTGAGAACTCTACTCTTTGCTGTTATTAGCTTCACGTCTTATTTATCTATGAATATATTTTCTTCACACAAACGTAAATTTCAGCGAAGAAAAGACGAAATAACTTGTTTTAGCTCAGAATGGATTCATCATTAAATTTTGAAATGGTTTCATATCTGTAAGTTCTCAGGCTGGGAACAAGTTTTTATATTGCTTCAAGTTTTTTTTTGCACTTTAAGGACTTAAGTTTTTCGGATATTGGCAAAAATCTACACAAGGATATCCGACCAACAACTCTTGAATAACCGAATAGTGGGATTTGACTGCCACTCTTGTAATGCAACTACGTTCGCTGTCCAGATTGATCGTGTTTTTAGCTTTTTTTTTACTTCTATTAAATTTTTTAGTGGTTTTTTCACTGACCGATTATAGCACACTCTGGTATTTTTTTATTCTACCATGTTTTTATAATTTTTATTTTTGATATTTCCCCTCTTTTGTGCAGATAGTCTTAGTGTTTTGCGTCATAAAGCATCAACCAAGCCAAAGTGCGAAGCGCGATTTTGGAGCATAGAGACTTAAACCACGGATCCTCGTATCCACAGTCCGGTATCCATTTTTAATGTCGTGTTAGCAGTTATCCTGGCACACCGCCAGAGGGCGCTACACTGTTGACCTCGGGAAGGGGGAGGCGATGACATAGCTTCATAATGTGCCACCAGGGGGGGATTACGTAATAGTTCAATACTGTAGGTCTGTACGAGGGGAAACTCCTATTATCTCGGTGTTTGTCTGTAATTTTATATGCTACGAGACTGAAGTCAATATATTCAGCATTGTACACCAATTTACCGTCGAAGAAAAGATTATGGTGATCACAAGACTATTTTAAAAGTGCATGAGATTCCCTCATCACTGAGCTTCTGGAAACTGTAACTTAAGGAGAACTGTGTGATAACATCTTTAACTTATTCCTGTTACTATAGTTCTAAATTTTCGTAAATCTTGTTTCAACAGAAGTATAACGATGATATACACTTACTCGGATGTACCATACTTGTATGAAAGTTAATATGTTTCAGTTTGTTATTTGTAAATATGAAAGGTTATTATGCTGTCAACTTGTCAGAGGAATTTTGTCCTTGGGATGCAACTGAAGAACACTGTCTGAACCGTAAGATGGACGATACTGATATTTCTTTACGTGCCTAAACTATTACACCCTCAAAATATTAGGCTATGTACATATCTTTGTGTTATATTTGTAAAATTGTATTTGAACGACAAATGTGATTTCTGGAAAGTGTTAACTTATAAGTATAAAATAACCTCCTGGTGAACCGTCAAATATTGAGAATGTACGTTTAGCTTTCTGTATTATATTAAGTTCAGTGACGTACACATTTTCGTTCTTCGTTGTCAGAGTTAATGTACAGTGGACACAGTTTGTTTTGGTTGTGAAGTTTAACTTAAAATGAAAGAGTAAACCCAATGTTTCAGTATATGCGATACTTTACAAGTATTGAAGATAACAGGTCAGTTTTAACCTGTAGAGGAGTGGTATGTGAAGGTCAAGATCTAATGTTCAACACTATGGGGAGGGGGACTGTCAATTTAGTTACGGATTTCAAGTGCAGGATATGCTTTCTATAGTTTCTAAAATAAAGAAACTGACCCTTATGTTTCACTTATGGCTATTTATTTTATGTGACTAATAACGTGTTAGAACAAGTATATATCGTAGTTATTATTATTACATTGGGCTGTAAGTCAGTATAAACATGTTTGATTTATAAAATGTGAAATACTATCTTTTATCGTGAGAAACAATTTCACAGTATATTTAATAACTCTTTGATAAAGTCGTTTCATTGATAGAATCTGATAAATTTAACTGTTGATCTTTGATTAAATGTAGATTGAACAATTTTATTCAACATGTTACAAGAATGATGTTTCATTAAGATAACTGATTCTTGTTTGTTCTTTCTTCAGTACTTGTAAAATAGGGTACACTTGTTCAGCGTATGTATTAATAAGATTTAATTTAACCTGTTTATTCAACTACTTTTCATGATTAACTATAGTGTTTAAGTATCAACATGAGAAATCTGTGCACATTTATTCTGCCAATCTAAATGTGATAAAACAAAATCTTATCGGATATCATCAGTGCCATGATAATGAAATCGATATGTAAACAAAATACAGGAGATATTAACACATCTATCAGTCTTATTATCATTGGTGAAAGGGACAGGATATTTATATTTGAAATGTTGCCCAGAAAGTTTCGAACTTTAGACTTTATTGTAGACTGATATTAAAAATTGGGATTAGGCTAAGTAAATACAACAGATTATAGTTGAATCGATTTTTCATCTTCAATTATTCTGGGCTGATTGACACAGTCTGAACTTCTGACCAGTTGTCGGGTACAGAATGGAGTAGAAAGTATGCAATAATTGTACTCTGACTGAAATGTTCTGTTCAATATCGTGAATACACATTTACTGTTTTGTCACTATATAAAGTGAAATAACTATGTTCACTGACTTTTAAATTCAGTGACATACAAAAACGGTAATTATAATGTTTTCTATATAAACTTCATGTTCACCATACTTTAATTACCGTTTTTGTATGTCACTGATAATGTTTTCTATATAAACTTCATGTTCACAATACTTTAATTACCGTTCTTGTATGTCACTGATAATGTTTTCTATATAAACTTCATGTTCACAATACTTTAATTACAGGTTTTGTATGTCACTGATAATGTTTTCTATATAAACTTCATGTTCACCATACTTTGTACAGTTTGAACTGTCTATTTTTCAATGTTAAGTATAACGTAAATACATAGATAATGACAAGTTATTATAATTGAATTTTCTTTTATGCAAAATAGACTTGGCCAACTAGGAAGTGACCTTTTCTCATTATCCACGTGTTGATCAATGACTATTTTCTCCTTTCTATAACTTTTTTCTCTGTCTACTCTTCCCACGTGATGGACGAGCTTTGTATTTCTTAACAGACAAAGATTAATTAGCTTGACGTCAGTGATGCTCGTGTGTAGGATATTTCATAATAGTGTTTACAGTTTCAATATTTTATGAAATTTTAAATGAAAATGGATGGATAAACAGTAAGCCATTCATTTATTATATTTAGTTGTAGCCAAATAATTAGTCTCATTCAAATATTGGATAACATGTATGTTAGATTAGATGTCTCGCTGACTTGTGAAAGTGTAACAGCAGGTGTCTTATGGAACATTGTCTGAAAGAAGCTACGAACACTTTAGACACTTACTCGACACTTTCACAAGATTTGTGCACGTGAAAGAAGTTTGGAGGTATGTTTGCCAGTGATCAACTACCTGATTGTACATCTTCAATCTGGATCCGAGTCGTATCTGGTACCTATTGGATCTGTATTCACTTTGGTTGAGTAGAATATTTTGATTCATTAGGTCTGTCTCCACATAATCTCAACATAAGAAAATCATCAAGAAAAACCGTCCAACATATACTTACAACAAAAATATCCATCCACACCTAGAAAGTAGTTACATGGACATACAACAGACAGTACTACTTATATAGATTAGTGAACGTGTACGATATCGATAGCTCTTGACGAAGCTGTAATAGCGAAATATTGAGCTAATAAAGTTACATTCTGGAGATATAGATCGTGATTTTATTTACGTTTAATGTTTACCACGTAAATTGTTTTTCGGTCTAACTTAAACTTATATATAAAATATGTATTTTCTCAATTGCGAGAGAAGCACGAGGAAGTACGTTACAAAGTAATCTATAACGTATAAATGTAGGAATGGTATACGTTTTATAATATCTCCAGGAGACGGAGAACAATACACAGGAAGATTAAGTTATTTTATTGTTTCTATGGAGATACAAAACAAGATACTTCCAAAATGGCCCTCTATCGGACTAATAAATAACTAATGAATTTGTAGCATGGAGTCAACCGGTTCAATCTGATTATCAGATACAATTTTAAGCTCGTATAAAGAACGGCTTTCTCGAGATGTCTCCTAATATGTAAAAATCTACAACAGATGATTTTAAGCTATGTTAAAAAAAAAGATCTATAACTTTATGTCCGTTAAAGGGTTCGTAAAAATTAGATTAAGAAATGAACAGTGTATCTATTTAATGGTTCGTTGATCAGATATTAAGTTAACCCGATACTAAATGGTTTTAAAAACTTCGAGTGTCTATAATGATCAAACAAATTTTCTATATCTATGTCTACACTTGATAAAACTTTGTAATTTGCGTTTAACACCAGAATCGTAGACTTCATATCTGACGTACTAATGACGTAATATTTCCCCGTATAAACCAACCATCATATTTAATACGAATTAACTTGCACTAGGGTTTCTTGTTACTATGGGGTCATATTGACTCGTGGATGGATGGTGTACGTTCGTTACAAATCCTTTTAAAAACTCAGCCATCGTAAAAAAACAAAACAAAGAAACTTTCACTAAGTAGTCCTAAGCTTTAAATTTACATAACCAACATTTCCAATCGTTGCTTACACAGTCACTGGAATAACAATGATTGAAGTTAGTTCAGGTAACATTATGATGGTACAGATGGCGTTCATTATTGGCTTTTTTAAAAAAGAAAGGTTTGAAGGATAAAGCCAGTTATATCGCTTTAACCAAGTTTTTCCACTTTTCTTGGCTAGGTATCGTAAAACTGATAAATTCAAAATTATATTAAATGGAAAAACTAAAATAGCTTTGGAACATCAGACCTGAAATAAACTAAGCTTTTTATTTATTTCTTTACATCAGACCTGAAATAAACGAAGCTTTTTGTTTATTTCTTTACATCAGACCTGAAATAAACGAAGCTTTTTGTTTATTTCTTTACATCAGACCTGAAATAAACGAAGCTTTTTGTTTATTTCTTTACATCAGACCTGAAATAAACTAAGCTTTTTGTTTATTTCTTTACATCAGACCTGAAATAAACGAAGCTTTTTGTTTATTTCTTTACATCAGACCTGAAATAAACGAAGCTTTTTGTTTATTACTTTCACTCTTGAAACTGAGTCATGCATGGCCTATTAGTGAGCGGGCCGGAAAGTGAACCTGAGGGTTGACGGTTAGTGTCCCGTTGCTACAAAATCGTGCTTCGCGCTGTCGGACCGTGGATGTGTTATAAGAGTGACGGTCAGATCTCACTAATCGATTAGTGCTGTTGACAAGCTGCTTTCTCTCTAGTCTGTTACTTTCATATTGTGAGCACTTGGCGCGTGTAACCCTTTGTGTATGTAGCTTTCAAATTAGTCTTCGGATTTACAACGCTAAAATCAGGGGTTCTATTCCCCTCGGTGAACACAGCAGATAGCCCGATGAGATTTTGCTATAAGAAAACACATTTCATACAACATCTCGCCCCCTGGTGGCACAGCGGTATGTCTTCAGACTTACAAAACCGGGTTTCGATACCCGTGGTGGGCAGAACACAGATAGCCTATTTTGTAGCTTTGTGCTTAGCTACAGAAAAGAAACTCTTTCCAATTAATCAATTCAAATATCAGTAGCACATCTTCATAAACTAGCCCCAACGTGAGTATGATCCTTAACGTAAAGTTCGAGGTATGGACCAGAAGAGAGGTCAAAATTCTGGTCAGAAACTAAACCAGGATAATAATTTTTACTATTTTGGCAAATAAAAACTTTTTGTTTGATCCGAAGAGCAGTTCAGCATACTTGTTATATTTTGGATATTTCTGGATGAAATGCAAACTTACAAATTCGAACTCGATGATCTAACGAACCTAGAACACTAAAATCTGAGGTTCGATTCCCGCTGTGAACAGAGCACAGCCAACCCACTGTGTACTAAAACAAACAAATCTACTAGAATACCTACTAAAGATGTACAATAATAATTACAATTATTAATAAATAGCCTTAATTATGAGTAACTGACATACTCCTAGCGGCGAGAACTGCTAAATATAAAAATCTTAATTATAATTTTTTGAAGTATTATTAAAACTGTTTGTGTATGTTTCTCTTAAATATTGACCCAATAAAACTACTACGTTAAGTAGAGCCTAAAACTCGGTTCAGTCATCTGTTTAGCGAAACAAATGCTATTCAAAGGTTATTTCTCTAAGTGGGTACGAGAGTATCTGTAGTTCCTTGGTGAGTGGGTGTGAGAGTATTTATGGCTCCTCGGTGAGTGGGTTGAGAGTATTTATGGCTCCTCGGTGAGTGGGTGTGAGAGTATTTATGGTTCCTCGGTGAGTGGGTGTGAGAGTATTTATGGCTCCTCGGTGAGTGGGTGTGAGAGTATTTATGGTTCCTCGGTGAGTGGGTGTGAGAGTATTTATGGCTCCTCGGTGAGTGGGTGTGAGAGTGTTTATGGCTCCTCGGTGAGTGGGTGTGAGAGTGTTTATGGCTCCTCGGTGAGTGGGTGTGAGAGTATTTATGGCTCCTCGGTGAGTGGGTGTGAGAGTATCTGTAGTTTGAGTTTTGTAATATATCTATCATACCTGTTTTCATTTGACATTTTCCAGTTGGCACCTGTAAAGATGGATGGCATGCCAGGTAATTAACAATACTGTTCTGTAGGTTCTTAACGATCGTAAACACTATTTTGCGACAGTTGGGAATGAAGTAATACCAAAATGCCATGGAAATCACATTAGTGACGAATACGCCATTTCGACAAATTACGTCACGCACGTATCATTAAAATGATAAATATCCGATCTCGAGAAATCACGTCATCCACGTAACATTAAAGTTTGTTGCATCTAAGGTTGTTTACAGCGTTACTTAAGCATATCAACATGCCTAACAGTGGTAATAACTAAAAACGTAACATCTTCAAGTAAGACAAATCAACAGAAAATATGACACACGCGCTGAAAAAAAAAAAAAAGATTTTGTAAGAAGTTGGTTATCAATTAAGTCACAGATGTCGTTCTCTGGATAGAAAGAATACAAACATTAACTGTGTTCAGGTATCACCCTGCATGGGATATTAAAATACTCCAAAGAAATCAAAAACAACATTATAACATACAAAAAATACTGGACAGTAAAGTTTTACTGAAAGAATTTTTCAAAGAGATTTACCAAAATGTTTATTGTTTTTTTATTAGTGCATAAATAATAGCTCTGAAACGAAGTAACAAAACATTTATAATTCAATATATATACAAGATAGAATATATGAATATTTAATTTCATGTTGTAGAATGCATTGTACATAATATACTATTAATGCGAAGAAATGAAATATATAACAATTATCATTTTTAGTAACGAATAATGTCACTAGATGGCGCAACAGTAATCGTTACTCTGTCTGTGTAGTGAAAAGACCCACTTTGTTAACTATATTTATATTATGCAATAACACAAAAAAAGGCTAAGGAATACACTAGTGTCACTACTAGACCTCTGATAAAAGAACTTCAACGGTCTGATTACTTATGTACGATATATGATGCGTACATCTGGTTCACGATTCATATGCTTGCAATGTTTCGTCCACCGATATGTGTTTTCGCCAATTACTGTAAACGTGGGTAAATAAGTGGTATTAACACTTGTTGTTCAATAACATTAATTGTCATTAATCGATCTGTTACAGGGATAAAATAATGGGAGGCATACGTGAACAAATTGTTTAATATTACCCCTACTGTTATACGTCAACTCGATACTTACGTTTTTAGTTGTGGTGCAATAGACAACGATACCTGGGAATCGAACTACTTACAAATATTTCCTGTAACTCGGACGTTTTAACTTAAAGTCTTGATTTTTTTCACACACACATACACACGTCCTGGTCACGATATAACGCTAGGGGCGGTTGCTAACGTCCACTGATATCGGAGAAAACCGGCACGATACTAGTCTCTCTGACAACGAAACGCGCACTAAGGCTTCCTTTCGTAATATGTGTACCAGGAGATTTGGATAGTACACTTCTTTACCGCGAGAGGGAAGAGCAAAAACGTCATTGAAACGTCATCACTTTCGTTTGTTTTTGTTGTTTTATTTATTTATAATAATAATTGACGAGTCCAAAAACATTACATATATATATATACTTGATGAGTCCATAGTTTCGATTTTCTAGCTTCAGTAGTTGTTAGCCCTCCCTAACAACATAGTCCTCCCTAACAACATAGTCCTCCTTAACAACATAGTCCTCCCTAACAACAAAGTCCTCCCTAACAATAAAGTTCTCCCTAACAATAAAGTCCTCCCTAACAACAAAGTCCTCCCTAACAACATAGTCCTCCCTAACAACAAAGTCCTCCCTAACAACATAGTCCTCCCTAACAACATAGTCCTCCCTAACAACATAGTCTTCCCTAACAACATAGTCCTCTCTAACAACAAAGTTTACAAAAAGGAATGTTTTATTTGATTTTAAAAAAGAAAGAAAGTAAAAACAATCTGTCGTGGAAAGTTTACCATTCTCAAGTGGTGAAAAAAAGGCATTATATAAAACCCAAACTGCAACTATTTAACGAAAGAAGGCATTATATAAAATGTTTGGGCTTCAAAATACACCAGGATATCGTTCGGAATGCGAAGTTCTACAAATAAATAGCTCCAGTATGTTTACGGTCTTACTACGCTAAAATTCGGGGTTCGATTCCCCGCGGTGGACACAACAGACAGTCCAATGTGACTCTGCTTTCAGAAAAACAACCAAAAGCAGTGGGTCAATGAACAAAGTTCGTGTTTATTAATGAGGGACATTAGTATAGAAGTAACAGAACGTTTCTGTTTATACGTGAAATGTTTCCAAGTATAGAAGTAACAGAACGTTTCTGTTTATACGTGAAATGTTTCCAAGTATAGAAGTAACAGAACGTTTCTGTTTATACGTGAAATGTTTCCAAGTATAGAAGTAACAGAACGTTTCTGTTTGTACATGAAATGTTGCCAAGTATAGAAGTAACAGAACGTTTCTGTTTATACGTGAAATGTTTCCAAGTATAGAAGTAACAGAACGTTTCTGTTTATACGTGAAATGTTTCCAAGTATAGAAGTAACAGAACGTTTCTGTTTATACGTGAAATGTTTCCAAGTATAGAAGTAACAGGACGTTCCTGTTCTGTACGTGAAATGTTTCCAAGTACAGAAGTAACAGAACGTTTCTGTTTATACGTGAAATGTTTCCAAGTATAGAAGTAACAGAACGTTTCTGTTTATACGTGAAATGTTTCCAAGTATAGAAGTAACAGAACGTTTCTGTTTATACGTGAAATGTTTCCAAGTATAGAAGTAACAGAACGTTTCTGTTTATACGTGAGATGTTTCCAAGTATAGAAGTAACAGAACGTTTCTGTTTATACGTGAAATGTTTCCAAGTATAGAAGTAACAGAACGTTCCTGTTCTGTTACTTATGCAGGTTTGTACAGAAGGGATAATTAACTTAGTAGTATATATATATAACTTTACAATTTATACTCGTTTGTCATTTTGAGGTTTCAACATTACGCCCTCTGGTGCAGATGAATCATTTATTTTCAGTATGTTAAAGAATATGTCTTAAATGAATTCAACCCTTGGTTTTTACTTCTGCATTTCATCTGTAACTGTTACGATACAGATGTCTAAGAGAAAACTAAAGTTATTCTAATGTATGTCATTTTGGTTAACTGAACATCGTAATGAAGTTTGGTTACCGAGCCAGAGTTAGATATATTAATTCATTTCTGTCACGAGTAAAGCAGCTGGAAATTAGAAGTTTTGAATTAATTTTAATATAATTCTGAGAATTTCACGTGACATTGCGGTAGTTGGAAATTATTGACCGTGGGCGTGGAACAGAAAGTGGAGAAGTTTGGTAAGAAGTTCTAACCAACACCATATATAGGTTGATACAAAGTTGGGCTTCGTTAGTGTATTACAGCTTATGTTCGAAGAGCTGAGACTTGACCAAATATTCGAAATATCCCAATCGAAAACCTAGACTAAGCCCATTTCCACACCAGGGGCATATACGGTATTTGTATCTAAATCCCAGACTAAGCCCATTTCCACACCAGGGGCATATACGGTATTTGTATCTAAAACCTAGACTAAGCCCATTTCCACAGCAGGGGCATATAC